ATATATATATATATATATATATATATATATATATATATATATATATATATATATAGAAGTAAACCTGCTTTTAATCCAGTCAAACTAAAAAAAATAAGACTTTCTCCAGAAGAAATAAACACATTTGGAAACACTGTGAAAATGTCTTTGCTCTGTTAAACAGCACTTATAAAAATAAATTCACATGAGAGCTAATACTTTTGGCTTTTTTTGCATATAAGAAGATAGTGACTATAATTGAATATATTTAGACAAAAGAAGTACAGTGTGTTAATTTCCCCCCTCTTCATGACATTAAATCCAAGGTACAAACAGTACCATCATTTTGTGCACAATTCAACCTCTATACTTCAGTAATCATGCTCATGCCTTTGCAAATGATTTCAAAACACACTCTCTCCCAATCACTGATTTACTGCACGTATGTGTCTTTCTTTGTCATTCTAAGTGATCTTTTATCAGTTTGTCGTCTGCCAGGCTCAAACTATAAATCAACATGAACTAAAATCCATGATTTGATCAGCAAAGGTGTGATAAAATTGAAGGTTACACACCCTATAAGTGAGGTGAGCTGAAGGCGTTTTACACAATACTCCAGAAAGCCCTTCAGGTCTGTCTTACTCACTCCTCCAATGGGATTGATATCAGCGCTGGAGCAGTCGTATTTGGTGAAGTATCCAGTCAAACTGCAAAGACAAGAAAATACTGTCTTTTAAGGAACCTTCACAGTGATTATTATTATTAGGGAAATACTGAAAAATGAAAGACAAACATTTGTCCAATAGTAACCACAAACCTCTCATCCACATTAGCTGATCCAAGAACTAAAAGACCACCAGTTTTTCCCTGAGCCCACAGACAGAGCTGGGCAAAAAGGTAGGCCAAAACCATCCTGATACGAGCCTGTAGTTGATTAAACACACACACTGAAGCTGAATCATACATACAATAACTGCAGCTGAATCATACACACACACACATATATATATATATATATATATATATATGTGTGTGTTTTACGCAGCGGATGCCCTTCCAGCTGCAACCCAGAACTGGAAAACATCCATACACTCACATTCACACACAAACACTATGGACAATTTAGCTAATGTGATTCACCTGTACCGCATGTCTTTGGACTAGTGGGGGAAACCGGAGCACCCAAAGAAAACCCACACAAACATGGGGAGAACATGCAAACTCCACACAGAAATGCCAACTGACCCAGCCGGGGCTCGAACCAGCAACCTTTTTTCTGTGAGGCGATTGTGCTACCCACTGCGCCACCGTGCTGCCCCATCACATTTTTTTTTATATAACCCTACCCTAACCTGCCTACTGTTAACCTAATTAAGCCTTTAAGTGTCACTTTAAGCTGTATAGAAGTGTCTTGAAAAATATGTAGTCAAATATTATTTACTGTCATCATGGCAAAGATAAAATAAATCAGTTATTAGAGATGAGTTATTAAAACTATTATGATCAGAAATGTGTTTAAAAAATCTCCATTAAACAGAAATTGGAGAAAAAAAATAAACAAGGGGCGAATAATTCTGACTTCAATTGTATAATCTATAGCTGGGCCTAAAATTGGACACTAACAGATAAACAAACTAACAACTATGAATTAATTATTATGTTGAACATTATTTAACTGTTCCTTTTTTATCCGATAGAGCACAGGTGTCAAATTTAGTTCCTGGAGAGCCGCAGCTCTGCACAGTTTAGTTCCAACCCTGCTATAACACACTTACCTGTAGGTTTCAAACAAGCCTGAAAGACTTAATTACTCTGATACGGTGTGTTTAATTAAGCTTAAAGCTAAACTGTGCAAAGCTGCGACCATCCAGGAACTGGATCTGACACCGGTGCTATGGAGTTTCTCCACATCACAGCTTTGATCACCAGGGTTTTTAAAGTTGAAGTCAGAATTATTAGCCCCACTGAATTATTAGCTCCTTGTTTATTTTTTCCCCATTTACTGTTTAACAGGTAAGATTTTTTTTCAACACATTTCTAAACATAATAGCTTTGATAACTCACTTTTAATTTCTAGTAAATAATATTTGACTACATATTTTTCAAGACACTTCTATACAGCTTAAAGTAACATTTAAAGGCTTTGTTAGGTTAATTGGTGTTAAGGCAGGTTAGGATAATTAGGCAAGTTGTTGTGTAATGCTGGTTTGTACTGTAGATTCAAAAAATGTAGATCAAAAAATATTTAGCTTAAAGGGGCTGATAATATTGGTCTTAAAATGGTTTTTAAAATTATTAAAAACTGCTTTTATTCTAGCCGAAATAAAACAAATAAGACTTTCTCCAGAAGAAAAAAATATTATGACATACTGTGAAAAATGTCCTGCTCTGTTAAACATCGTTTGGGAAACATTAAAAAAAAAATAATAATCAAATGGGGGCTAATAATTCTGACTTCAACTGTATATAAATAAAAATAAATAATAAATAATAAAATAAAATGATTTGATATACCTATTATTAAAACTAAAAAAAAAAAAAAAAATTAATTAAAAACATTGTGTAACTGAACTTCTCAGGCTTAAATTTTATACTTGTTTACTCTTGTTGATAATTTGCTACGACACTGAAATGACTATATTTGCATATACTGCATGTTTTATCTTTAAAGAGAGAAAAAAATAACTACTGTAGGTCTTAAAAGTAATAAAGTGTTTTACAGTGTAACCCAAACTCGGTAGATTTGCAGGTTGTTTAACACATAAGGTGACAAACTGCAAGATCTTTCTGTGAAAACTGCGGTGGCTGTGTTGCAATGCAAGCAAACAGCAGAATGGAAAAAGTCAGCAAAACAGTATCACTTTTACAAAAAAAAAAAAAAAAAAAACACTTCTGAAGCCCGCGCTTTTTTGATTTTACAAAGTAAGAGTCACTTAAAACAAAGAATCAACATGCCTTTTTTTTTACTAAATGTAGCCAAAATACTGTTATGCTTTTGGTTATTTCTGAGATTTAAAGGGTGGTCAAGAAAATCATTTGGAAAAAATATTAATTATATTTTTAGTGCACAAAGCATTCTACAAGTATACAGTTGAAGAAAAATTATTAGCCCTCCTGTGATATTTATTTTATTAATTTTTTTTTCAAATATTTCCTAAATTATGTTTAATAGAGCAAGGCTTTTTTCACAGTATTTGCGATTATATTTTTTTCTTCTGGAGAAAGTCTTATTTGTTTTATTTTAGCTAGAATAAAAGCAGTTTTAATTTTTTAAAAAACCATTTAAGTCAAAATGATTAGTCCCTTTAAGCAATATTTATTTTTTGATAGTCTACAGAACAAACCATCATTATACCATAACTTGCCTAATTACCCTTATTTAGTTAAGCCTAAAAATGTCACTTTAAGCTGAATACTAGTGTCTTGAAAAATATCTAGTAAAATATTATGTACTGTCATCACGGCAAAGATAAAATGAATCAGTTATTAGACATGAGTTATTAAAACTATTATGTTTAGAAATGTGTTGAAAAAAAATATCTTTCCATTAAACAGAAATTGGGAATAAAATATACATGGGGGGTAATAATTCAGGAGGGCTAATAATTCTGACTTAAACTGTAATATTACTGTATATAAGCTGCTGATTGGTGCAGTACCTGGACGTTCTGAAGTGCCAGGTTCTCTCTGGCACTTCCTCCATTTGCGCGGAACTGAGGCCACTTCCCTGTGACCATAGAAAAGATTCCCAGCATGGCTTTTACTGCCATGTCAATATTGATGTTCAGGTGATTGCTGAGAAGAACACAAAAAAAACTTAAATGAGCACACCTTTTTGTGCTTCTGAATTGTTTTATTAAAAGTAACCTTCTGAAAATGTGAAAATAAAAGATTTGAAGGAAAGAATAGCTTTTTGCAGCCATAATTGTCTTGGTAATATGCTGTTTAGTGTTATCATTAATTATTCATTATTTAATTTTAATGGTACTCATCTTTTAATAACGGTTCGTAATATTATCAATGTTGAAAACGGCGGTTGCTGTTTATTATTTTTCTGGAAACATCTTTTTTGTTTTTATTATTTATTAATTAACGTTTGATAATTTATTTAAAATGCAAATCTTTTGTAACATTATAAATGTATTTATGGTCACAGTTTATGTTTTGCTAAATAAAAGTTTTATTATTATTATTATTATTATTATTATTATTATTATTATTATTATTATTAATTTAAATAATTATTGAAAATATTATTATTAATAATAATATAAAAGAACTAATAAAAATAGTATTATCATGATTATTCATAATATGCTAATTAATATTATTATTATAATTATTATTAGTATTATTATTATTATTAACAGAACTGAAATATTATAAATATATATATATATATATATATATATATATATATATATATATATATATATATATATATATATATATATATATATATATTGATATTAACATGAATATGCATACTATTAATAATAATAATATTAATAATAATATTAAGATAAAAC